CTCAGGAACAGCCAGGAATGATCCGGGACAGGTGTCTGGACACACTATGCTCTAGACTCGAATTATCTTCTGCTGAAACTCAAACGGTGGCACAGGACTGGAAACGTTCGAAATATTGTGTGGCGCGTCTGCCTCCCGGAATTGAAGTAATCCTCATCATCTTCATCTTCCATGACCGCTTCTTCTTTCGGATCGCGGAGGCAGACGCATCGCACAGGGCTTCCAACGTTCTCAATCCTGTGCCAGAGTCTGAGGTTTGGCAGAAGGCAACCTGAGTCTAAAGCAGACTCTTTTCATCTATTGCACCAGGTTAATCTTGGCCGTTCCCTGGGCCATCTGCCGCTCGGATTTGCAAGGGACAGTTGCGGATTTGAAGTATAAGCGGTAATCGAAACTGACTGACTGGCTGAAGTGCATAAACATTATCCCAACACATCTTTCGGCAAAGTTCCCGTGCTCCTAGTTACGCAGATGTAAGCATAGTATGGATGCGCAATATTTCAGCGCGCTCAGTGTTTGCTTGTGTTGTTTTACGTATTACAGTAATTTTTCGAATTTGGTGCTCATGATCTTTTTCTCAAACAGCATAAATGGGTTGGTGCGTCTCGAATATGCTGATAAGTATAATCTCACAAAATTGGGTTAAGTGAATACGAAAATTAACTTTATTAAGTTGCTGTAACTCGAAACTGTGTTGGGCTTCCAATGATAGGAAGTTTATGTAGAGTAGAAATGTAAGCAGTAACGTAAGTTGGGCGACGACGTTACAACGGATTTTTTAAGGTTTAGCTGTCCAAGTGCCTTACTCTTCCAGAGGGAGTCGAATGAATTCACATGCTTATTATACATTAGAATCTATATAGCTTTGTTACCTCCATAAGGCAGTGTTTTATTTATCTTTATGCAGTATAATAAGGAGTTGAATAGGCCAGACGAATGTTGAACCTGAAACAATAAATGCGTTCATCTAGCTTTACAAAGTGACGAGTACCGCTAGGATGTGCTAATCATGACATAGTTGATCCCCGTTTATATGACGAGCCTTAACTGGCAACGGATCAAAGGACGATCCAATATTGTTAGCATTCGGCTAATGGTGTGGTTCTGGATAAATCAAACCGAGGCACGACTTTTAATGCACGTCATGGAATCTCAGAACTTAGGCGATGCATAGGAGTACTAGCGATTATCATAGCGCAATCAAAAAGTCATATTGATATACTTAATTACATAAATGTTTTACGTTTACTTTACCTTGCCATATGTTTCTTCCGTCGGGTTAAGCTAAAAATCTTCTTTCCTCATTGGTTGCCTCCCTCTTGTCAATTTTACTCGATTAAAGCCGCATGACGCGGTTCCAAATGAGTTTGTCTTGCAACAATAGAATCCTTCTACGCCTTCTGCCGAGACAGCAATAAGTTTCCACATACTGTTTTCCAGCGTAAGTCTTTCCGATTCAGCTATTCCTACTAGTGAAATTTGTTCCTTACACCATATCAGTTTCTGTCATATGAGAAACTTCTTAATTTACCTTAGGAAATCCAGACCGTGTTATCGCGCGTGTTCCTGAACCGGTTAATTTTTTCACATGGGTTTTGGTGCTAAATAGTCACCGACAACAGTCGGTTCTTGAGGGTTTTTCCCACTCAAGCAAATTCTGTTCAGTTTATGGTAAACACTGCAGAACTGTTCCATAGTAAAACGTTCGCATTTGCTTTGCTTCAGGTTCTTAATGCCCTGTAGTGAGAGCGAGAAGAATCAGCGCACAGACCGGCTGTCTGCCGTACGGAACTTTATATAGTTCGGTTCTACCCCTAATCATCTAATGCTTATTAAATTTTGAACGTAACAAGTATCGATTCTCCAACAACTCACATAGGTCATGCGAAATTTCGCATTTCATCAAGTTAAACGTTCCCGCTGCTT